AAAATATTCCTTCACTGCTATTTACCATTTAGTTTCAGAATATTTCATCTGAATTGAGAATAAAAACACATTACATAGTCCATAGAATACTTTTTGGTTTCATAATGAAGCATGACTGGTACATCTAGCATTGCCCTTTATACTCTGATGTATTTTACAAGTTAATGCTTCATTATATAAACTAAACGTTTAACATTTGACAATGCAGTTCACTCTTAAATAGGACCAAAGCTTCACATTCACAGCATTCAAACTACCAACAAACACCATAAGGCTTGCAGTGAATTGACTATAATTTTGACAACCAACTTCCAGTCTTCCTAGTAGTCAGTGTATGGACTATTAGCAGCCATGGCATTTCAAGAGATCCTGATGCAAATAGGGGGCATGGGACGTTACCAGGTCATACATTTCATTCTTCTAGCCATGCCCTCAATCCTGCTAGCCAGCCACAATCTCTTGCAGAATTTCACTGCAGCAATTCCAACACATCGCTGTAGACTCAATGATTCCTGGGAGGATGGCAATTTTACTGGGATTTGGGTGGAAGCCTTTATTCCAGTTGAAGCAAATGGAAAACCCTCTAGATGTTTCCGCTATACCAGCCCCCAATTCCATATTCTCAATGCCACTTCTTCAAGTAACACAAGTGATGCAGAAAAAGAGCCATGTGTAGACGGATGGGTCTATGACGGCAGTGAATACTCTTCTACTGTCATTAACCAAGTAAGGCATTTTATATTTTTTTTCTAATCCATTTGTTCTTTTTCTTAGATGTTTATGCTATATTGATAGCTAGTCAGAAATATAATGATAGCCAATAGCATGTAGCTTCCTGTGAATTATAGGATATGATTTACAGCATGCAGAGTACTACTTTATCATTTATCTGTCTATTTATTTATCTATCTATCTATCTATCTATCTATCTATCTATCTATCTATCTATCTATTAATATATAGTTTGAAAGTATTTTGACTAATATATTCAATGTTATTTGTTGTCAGGGATTATTTTGTGCTTTGGGGCTTTATACTTTCTGCTTCCCTAAGACAAATTATGCAAGCCTCTCCTCATGCAGTCAAGCAGTTAAACTTACAATCAAATTTGGAAAATCAGATATTACAGCCATATGATTCACGTCAAGTTCAGGAATGAGAGGCTGAAACAGACAGCTTGATCCTTCACTTCCGTGTTACCGCACTAAGCTAGCATTTTACTAGGTGTCCATACAGGGACCGGAGCAATGAGAACTACAAATGGATTGTACTGACCAGAAGGGTGGTGGCCTGGAACCATGTACTGTACAAGAAAGTGTGTCACTAACATTTAGGAACACAATACAAAGATTGCTGTGTTCTGTTCCTAGAAGCCCAGCTGTCCTAGGCTACAGCTTATGGTGCTTTTGCAGAAATCCAACCATAGGAATTCCACAGTGTCGTTTGTGTTCATAGAACCATCCCTAAATCAGCCTGTCTGTGGCTAGCCATTACTGCGTCTAAAGCAGTATCACCCCATTAAGCATTAAGTCCATTCACATGCATTTACACTAACAAACTACCCATTCTACAACCACAACAGAATCTGTAATATTACATTACAGTCAACAAAACCCACAACTGCTCTGAGGCAGACGAAGTAGTTCAAAATAGTACTATAGTACTATTAATAATGGCTTCATACATTGAAAGAGCTCTGATCTTTTGCAGAGGAGAGGGTTGACAGAAGTTCTTGGAGTAGTGTTTCCCAAAAACTTTTATAGATTTCAATTGGGAGACTGTTACTCCCAGGTACTTTGAAGCTAGGGAAAGCTGTGTCTGTTTAAAATTCTTCAAAGTGAGGGGACTATTGAGCATATTTCTATCTACATCCTCTAGCTGAGTTATGTGGATGTTTTGTAGGAAGTCTAGGAGGTCCTCCTCATAATATACAACTTTAGTGTTACATAAATGCTCAAATTATGATCTGAAACCATGAAAAATCAAGGGGATATCAGACACAATATTAGTAGGGCAGATGGCTATGGAGGAGACAAAATAAGGTCCTTCCTGTGATCACACAATGCCCGCCAACAGGTGACCTCTTTTTTCTCTTTCCTCAAAATAAGTGTGTAATGTACATTGTAAAAAGGCTTCTGAGGACAACATGTATTGATGACGAAACGCAGCAAGCAGAACTTCTTGTGTGTCACTTCCGGTCTGGTGTGGAATGCACGCTGAGGTGTTGGTGGCTTCCACGTGATCAGAGGAGGGATTGCCTATGTGTTTTTTTACAGTTTTATATGGGCATAGTCCTTTTTATCCTTTTAATAAAATACACAGTTTTACACTATGAGAGGATTCTACTTCTCTCTTTTTTTTAAACATATGCCATTTAAACCATTGGAATATTATTTGGATATTGCTGAGGAGGTAACAGCATAGAGATCCAAGCAGGCCTTTGAGGGACCACAAAGTACAATGTAACCTTTCTTGTTGAAAAACAAGGAGGTCAATGGAATCTGGTAAGTGAGGGTAGTTTACATTCACTGGTGGTGGAACACTTAATGGTGATATCAGTGAAAAGAGCACTCCTTTATGTTATATGGACTTCCTATATACTATAATGGTGTTGGTGTTGATGCAAGCACACATCATTTGGGACTTTGCACTTAAAATTTGTTTGGAGGAAGCATTTTGGACTTTGCACTTATAAGTTGATATGAGGAATATGTTTTTTAGAGCACATTTATGTTATAAGTTTTTCACATTATATTGAGTATTATTTAGCAAGTGCTATCAGTTATATATGGTAATTAAGATCTTCTAAGGTAAGGGATAGTGGCTGCAGTCATTAATTTATGTGTCTTTTTTTTGCTATTATTTAATATTATTTGTTACTATTAGTTGCGGGTGGTTTTTGTGTATTAATAAGCAATATGTCTTTCCATCAAAGACTCCTAAGATATACTTTCAATGTGTCCTACACAACTGAGGTGGCATCCGAGTGTCTGTTAATTAGTACAAATGTTTATCATATGAGCCGTATTTTTAAAATGGTTAGCCAAAAGGGGTTCAGCTTCCAGAGGACCTACCTTTGGGGGGGACCATTACGTGGGATACTTAGTATCTCAAAAGGCCCATGAGCAGATAACAAACTCTTGGCATCAACTGGAAAAATAAATGATTATCCAAGGCAAGGTCAACCCAGGATAAGGAGAGATGAGTACTTGAAAAACAAGAGAATTATGCAGTATGTGGATGACAGCTTTCAATGTACTTTTTCCATGCATGCACTATATTCTTTTGCTACCTGTACTCTCTTTGGGATAAAGTGTATCTAAAGCCAAACATTTTTAGGATTAGATCGAAAAGACAATGGTTAAAAGCTGTCTTAGGTTTTTTTGAGTTTGGTAACCCTTTAGGTATATTTATTTTCACATCCTGGCTGGAAAAAGTGACTGGAAATTTTCCAAAGTGAGTATAAATCCCTCTCTGAAAGGTCATCAAAACAACTGACCCCATTGAGGGACTGAGTTCCCAGCAGCCATTTGTCAGTGTGAGTTGGAATAGTTTAGGGAGAACTGACAATCTGTTGATGGAGAGTTAGGTGCTATATGGTGCTTTATTGTGCTAAGTTACTGTGGATTGAAAACATTTTCTATTTTTTGTAAACTATTGTATGCTGTTTAATAGCATCGCAGTATAAATGAGTACAGCAGCCCCAGCCATTCATGTTAATTAAAGATTTTACACTCAACATTGGCTGCCTGAGTGGAGGAAATACATCAGACATTACACTGAATGAGCTCAATCAGAGCCCTTATGAGGGGTTTATGTTTGCCTAATTATTTAATTTAGCTTGTATCTGACTCTCAGTTTGAGGTAGAGGATACGGATGAGCTAACAGTTCACTCGGAAACTGAGACCTCACACTTTGTTTTTGCCTTAGGTACCCTATAAAATCCATAGCAGACTCAAAGGGTTTATTTACTAAAGCTGGAGAGTCCAAAATCAGACTCCCTTCTGCATAGAAACCAATCAGCTTCCAGGTTTCATTGCCAAAGCTTCATTGAACAAGCTGAGGTTAGAAGCTGATTGGTTTCTATGCAGAAGGGAGTCTGATTTTGGACTCTCCAGCTTTAGTAAATAAACCCCAAAGGGTCTGGTAAGCATTTTGAGGGGAACTATAGGAAATTTGTGATCTTGTGCTACAGCAAAAGTGACATTTACAAAAAAGAAAAAAATTGATGCAGTTCAAATTTCCAGCAAACAACATTTATTGCCAGCTCCAGCACACAGACTCCTACGAAAGTCTCCCAAATTACATAGCCGATGCCGTCTTTGGACTGTTTTTTTTTCTTAGATGCACGTAATGTAATGTCATTTGCTGGCAATTTTAAACATTTTCTTTTCCTTTGTAAATGTCAGGGCTACTGCACTTCTGTACATCACAGACATGCGCCCCTTCACAGGCAGGATTAGAGCACCACCACCAAGCATGTTATTTAACCACTTGCCTACAGGGCACTTATACCCCCTTCCTGCCCAGGCCAATTTTCAGTTTTCAGAGCTGTCACAATTTGAATGACAATTGCACGGTCATGCAACACTGTACCCATATGAAATTTTTATCATTTTTTGAGACAGATAGAGCTTTCTTTTGGTGGTATGTAATCACCTCTGGGTTTTTTATTTTTTGCTAAACAAACCAAAAACCACTGAAAATAAAAAAAAAGTTTTTTCTTAGTTTTTGTTATAAAATTTTGTAAATAAGTGATTTTTCTCCTTCACTGATGTGCGCTAATGGGGCTGCAGTGATGGGCACTGATAGGCTGCACTGGTGGACACTGATAGGTGGCACTGATGGGCACACTGTTGAGGAGGCACTGGTAGGTGGCACTGATGGGCATTGACAGGCATCACTGATGGGCACTGAAAGGCAGCACTCATATATGGCACTGATAGGCAGCACTGGCTGGCACTGTTAGGTGGCATTGATAGGTAGCACTGACGGGCACTGATAGGTGGCACTGATGCGCACTGTTAGGCAGCACTGACTGGCATTGATAGGTGGCACTGAAAGGCAGCTCAGATGGGCACTGATATGTGGCATTGATGTGGCACTGATGGGCACTGGCAGGTGGCATGAATGAGCACTGACAGCTGGCACTGATGGACACTGACAGGTGGCACTGCTGGGGCTACACTGATCATCAGGGCACACTGATCATCAGTGCCCTGATGATCAGTGCACATGTCCCCTCTGAGGGATGCCAATTACCGGCTCTCCTCTTCTCTCGAGCTGTCAGCGTGACAGATCGTGAGAAGAGAAATGCCTATAAGCGGCATTTTCCTATTTACATGTGATCAGCTGTGACTGGACACAGCTGATCACCTGACCGAGCTGACATCTTCGGTTCTTTCCGTTGATCCGCTGTGTCCAAGGGACACAGCGCACTGCTGACCAACGTGCTGCACACCGAGCATGCGTGATTAGAATGGGAGGACGTCATATGACGTCCTCCCAGAACGAGAGAACCATCTTGCACCCGTCATTACCTTATATGGTGGGCGGGAGGCGGTTAAAAGATTTAGGCCAAACGTAGTTCCTACATTTTGTTTTCATTTCTACATGTTCCCCAGGACAGTCAACCCCCCCACCCCCCTTATATTTTTTGAAACATCCTTGCCTATTAGCTCAGAAAATGGGCATTTTTAATTTGACAAATTTGTCTTCCATTGATTTCAAAGGGGATCAAAGGGGATCAGCTTCTGAACTTCTTTGAATTTCAATGGTAGATTGATTTCTGCCCAACTACTGTGCTAAGACAAGTAGTTTCAGTTACAAAAACAAAGTCTTAAAGCAAAACTGAATGTTTAAATAAAAGCTGTACTTTTAAATAAGATATGTAATGAAGTGTTCTCCTGATTCTTTACTTCATTAAAACAATTCTGTTGCTAAACATGATTTTTTAAGTTGAAGCTGTGCCCGTAAAGGAGAATTTAAGTACCTCTCGTGAGGACTGTGCCACTAAATGCTGCTCTGATTAGGGTGTCCTTTTATGAAACAGAGATCAGCGGCGATCCTGAGGATCGTTGCTGATCTCCGATCATTAGTGGTTTAGGAAACAGAGATGATCAGCGGAGAACATGTTCTCCTCTGATCATCTCAGCACACAGACTGTCAGTATATGAAGGAGCGATGTCAGCCCTTCACTGGCGATCTGTGTTCTCCCTTTAGATTCTCCAGCTTAGAGCTGGAGAATCGGAGGAAACGCAAACGAAGCAGCGGTAATTTACCACTGTTTAGTAAACTGTGTTTGACTGATCTTTTACTGTAATCTCGCGAGATTATAGTAAAAGCAGCCGTTTTGCAGCATTTGTAGATCACTTCTCCCTTCATTCGGAGAACTGATCTACACCGTTTCATAAAAAGACATTCACAGAACTGTGTTCTCCAAGAATGCCGGAGAACTGAGCAGCGGTCATTTACAACTGCATGATAAAAGGACACCTATGAGGAATTGCTAGCTAAAGTCTGTGCAGAAAACTACACTTCAGGGTGTGTTGATTTATTGTTGCCCTTGTTGGTTTCTCCCAATGACTTCTACCTTACTACTGTGTCTTATATTGACAAGAGAATTGGTGGGAAGAACCACAGAGCTGCAAGGAAAACAGGAGATCAACACTCCTGATTGTATTAGTTTCTGTATTGACTTCATATGGTGATTCCTCTCAAACAGAGCGCTGTTCAGTGTCACGGTCAGCAGGACAGGTAAGTATTTACACCCTTGTTTACAGTAGGGTTGCCAACTCGTCCCTTTAAACCGGAACACATATTCATTATACAATTTCTGTGACTTATTAAGGTGGTAATTAAATTAGAGCCTTATATGCATTAATTTAGCCTCAGAACCTGTGTAATTAATATGTGTTTGGGTTTAAAGAGATGAGGTGGCAACCATAGTTTACAGGTACAGCTTTAATTTAAAAAAAAAAAAATGAAAAAAAAACAGCTTAGGAAAGAAGTTACAAAGTTTAATGAGGAATACATTTCATTACATGACTGGTCTAGTTGTATATTAATTTGAAAGTGTCCATCAATAATAATAATATACTGTTGCCTATTCTGGATTTATGTCCAGCAAAACTGTTAGCAGGAAATCAGAGTTGCTTATCATTAAATGATTACCCAGAGTAAATTGCTGATCAGCTGTCTTTACACTAATAGATTTTCGAACAACCTTTCACTTGAATGTTTGTACAAATATTCATATCAAAATTCTTTGTACATTTAATGACTGAATGAATGACGTTCGAAACTACTTTAACATTTTGTTGCTTTTAACATTCAGTCTTGGAATGAATGTAATTTCCTGAATTAAAACTGCATACACTGCTATAAATCTGTCCGTTAGAAGAAAAAAGTTTTCATTCTGCTCTTTCAGAACATTAATTTGACCCCACTAACAATTAGAAAATGGAACAAATGTTATTAAAGCAATAATATTTTGAACAAAATTCTATTAGTCTATAGTCAGCTTTAGCCATACATTACAAAACCAGAGCAGTGTTAAAGGGATGAATATCAGTGTGTACCAGAGGCGGACTGACAACTCATGGGGCCCCCGGGCAATAGGGGATCATGGGGCCCCTGTGTCCTTGCCCAAACTCCAAAAAGCCTATGAAAAAGGTACCAGGGGCATCTCATGGGGCCCCCTACTGACCCCGGGCCCTCGGCAGTGCCTGGGTTTCCAAATGGTCAGTCCGCCAATACTAAAAAGAATTCTCTTTGAAACTATTGTGTCCCCTATAATTACCATGAGTAGTAGCATGTTAAATAATGCATTCAATAGCAGCAGTAATGTTTATATAGAGAATTTATTGCATGGAGTAGCTATCTACTCCTCAATTACTGTGTAATATAATGCACATTTGGTAATGGTGAGTCAATAACCATTTTAATTGTAACACCCTCCAGGTTAGTCAGATAGTTTTTGTTAGATAGAGGCTGAGTATCAGCCTAGGGATGAGTCAGCCTGAGAGTGAGGAAGTGAGGGTACCTCAGGACAGACTAGGAGGCTGTAACAGGTCAGGGTTTCTGGAGCCCTCCCAACTCTCCAGAAACTTGAGAGCTTTCTGGAGGTGGGGTGGAGGCTCAGATCTGCTTGAGGGACCCTGGCCAATCCCCTGGCAGGAAGCTAGGCATGGTGACCATGCAAATCTGAAGGGAGGGGGCCCTAAGGAGGGAAGCCTACCTACAAGCAGGTTGCTGGAAAAGAAGATCTCCACTGCCTCAACGTCTCCCAGAGAGGATAGCCTGTGTAGCAGGGAAGGAGCGAGTCCAGCGGAGGGCATTCAGATGCAAGACCCAAATAGCTTCTCACCTTGGACTTTTCTAAAATAACAGCTCTTGGGCGCCCTTGCTCAGGGATACCCTCAGGCAGCTGGGTGAAGAGAAGGAATCATCCGGGGTCTGAGGAGGTCACCTAATAGCCTTTGGTAGCCTTTGGTGCTCTAAAAGAAAAGACTGTTGCTAATCCGAATCTTTGTACGTAGTTGCTAAGGAGTTGTCCTCAAATTCTAGTTCCTCGGGCATCCCATATACACCTAGACCACATCAAAGCTCTTAACCCCTTAACAAAATCAGAAAACCAAGCTCAAGGACTGTTCTTTGACTCCAGTGTCCAAAGTGTGGAAAATGCATATTGCCTGGCCATGCAGAGCATAGGGGGGACCCAAATCAAATCCAGCGGCCCCAAACGGGTAGTGCTACATAATCCTTAATGTTTTTTTAAAACGATCTTTAAAGCAGAACTAGCCTGAGCTTTACAAGCATATCAAACTATTCAGGTCAATATTTCTAATTTTAAAGTAAACTCACCCATCCATTTATTTTTTTTTAAAAATCGTTTTAAAAAACCCCCTTGCAATCCTATCTGAGACCATTATAAGAGCAGGTGATTCAGATAGCATTTACTTCCTATAATCTATCTGCTCTTGTAGGCAGGGGGGTGTGCTAGCTGAGAAAGCTCGTCCTCCCATATTCCAGATGCCAGTTTTGTGACATGGTGCATTATCCTGCTGGATGCTGCCATCAGAAGATGGGTACAATGTACTCCTAAAGGGATGGACATGGTCAGCATCCGTTGTGCTGTTTTTAACCGGTGCTCAGTTGGTACTAAGAGGCCCAAAGTGTGCCTAGAAAATATCCCCCACACCATTACACCACCAGCCTGAACCGTTAATACAAGGCAGGATGAATCCATGCTTGTTTGCACTAAATTCTAACCCTACCATCTGAATGTCACAGCTGAAATTGAGACTCATCAGACAAGGCAACGTTTTTCCAATCTTCTATTGTCCAATTTTGGTGAGCCTGTGTGCATTGTTTCTAGTGCAACCCGGTGTGGTCTTCTACTGCTTCAAGGTTTGATGTGCTCTGCGTTCAGAGATGGTATCTGCACACCTTGGTTGTAATGAGTGATTATTTGAGTTAATGTTGCCTTTCTAACATCTCAAAAACGTCTGCCCATTCTCCTCTGACCTCTGACATCAACAAGGCATTTTTGTCCACATAACTGCCGCTCACTGGATATTTTCTCTTTTTCTGACCATTCTCTGTAAATCCTAGAGATGACTGTGTATGAAAATCCTAATACATCAGCGTTTTTTTAAATACTAAGACCAGCCCATCTGACACCAACAACCATGCCTTCTTCAAAGTCACTTAAATCCCCTTTATTCCCCATTCTGCTTGAACTTCAGCAAGTCATTTTCACCACATCTAGATGCCTAGATACATTGAGTTGCTGCCATGTGATTGGCTGATTAGCAATTTGTGTTACGAAGCAATTGAATAGGTGTACCTAATAAAGAGGCCAGTGAATGTATATACATATTACAAGTGTCCCAACCCAGAAGGTTGAATGTGTAGTTCACTCATGTATATTTACCTGCAAAGGTGAACCTGGCATACTTGTTCTGCATCTCAAGGCTTCTTAAACCAGAGGGTTGAATTGCTTTAACTCCCAATATTCATGTTCTTGGATACACCATAGTTATACATTGTTCTCCCATTTAGAACACTTCTTCCCAGTAAATGATACAGACAAATTCTGCCATTAAATAAAGATTGTTTTACTTGTAAACTTGAAATGTTAACAGGAACATATTACATCACTATTCAATACATTTTCCCCACACATGTACAATTGATTGTTTAATACTGTTAAGCTAGATTGGCTGTGCTGCTAGATCAATACACTGTCCCTAGCGGTATGTGATTAGTTCAGAGGAAACTGTCATTGTATGTGGCTTTGCAAACACTGGTTGTGCTGAGCCCCTGGACAGCTCACTGCTATTTGAGAGAGCATAAGGTTCTCCCTGCAGCATTGGTGAGTTGTGGTG